AAAAATTAAGATTATAAAAAATATCTTTTTATTTACTAATCTCGAAATTTTAAGAATTCGGTATAATTGTTGTGATGTGATATCATCTATAGATTAAATTATGAAATATTTGTTTCATTAAAATATACTGAAAATAATTGTATTAAAGTCATGAAAAAAAAAGGCATTTAAATAGTATTCGTGAAGATTAGATCTTAGATCTAGGACATTAAGGTGCCTAATCTTGACTATTTATTGATTAAATTTTAATTCAAGGTCAGCCATTAATTATATTTTCGAAAAAAAATAAATATAATTTAAAAGAAAATTTGTTATTATAGTTTGATAAAAATTTCATAAATAGTTTATAAAGACTTTATAATTAATTAAAATAAATGTGTTAGTTGCACGTGTGTTTATTTTTTACTTAATTAATTTAATCAACCATCATTTGTAGGTTAGTTTAATAGTAACTTCCGTCTGGGTTATAAGATTTTTCTTATTTATTAATTCATTGGGGACTGCTGTCGTGCTGTAATTACAATCGAAATATGACATTCTTATGTTTCTAATTTATTTCTATATATATTATATATTCAAGCAATTTTCTTTAAAATATGCACTTTCTATAATAATTTTAAAAATTAAAAAATATATTTGAAATAAAATATCAATTTTTTTTCTTAAACTTTTTAAATTATCAATTTTCACGTTAAACTTTTAATTATAAATTTAAATAAATTTTGGGATTTTAATTTAACCTTGAATTTAAAAAGTATTGTTATTTTCCTTCTTACACATTTTTGTTTTAAAAAATTCTTTAAAAAAATATATTCTTGAAGAAAAAATGACATTCTAAAATGGTTAATAATTAAAAAAAATTCTTTCAAATTTTAATATAATTTTTTTTATCCTTAAAATTGAAAAATGCATAGAAGCAGAGTCAAATAAGGTGTTCTGGATTGGGTTTTGAAATTTCTGGAAAAATATGGATAATGTTTCTGGTTATTTATTTATTATTTTAATCCTTTATTTTCTTTTAGCCAGCCAAGTGTATCTTGCGTGTCAAGTTTTAATGTTGAAGAATTTTTTTCATATAACAAATTTTTATAATTAATGTATTCGTATTTACTTTAATTTAACGATTAAAACAATCCATTAATTTCATATTTTCACACATGCTTCCTGTCACGCTTTGATTTCATTTATTAGTTAAATCCTATTATTATTTTATTTATATTATTGTTTTGGCTAAAAAATGATTCTCTGAATCGTGGATGGCCATGACGAGTGACGTGACATCATGTATGGTAGAGAGAGAAAGACGTGGGGAGAACTTATTCTGTGTTATCATATTCTTTTGTTACACATTATAAATATAAATCAAACCTCCATTTAATCTTAAATTAAAAATTTTACATTTTATAAATGTTTCTATTCAAACAAAAGTCTATTAAAATGTGAGATTACCTATCATTTAGAGAAGGGAAGGAAACATTCCTTATAATGGGTGAAAACCTCACCTTAGTAGACGCGTTTTAAAATCGTGAGACTGACGGAAGACGATACATAACAAACCAAAGCAGACAATATTTACGAACAATAAACTTGAGATGTTACAAATAGTATTAGAGCTAGACATCGAGTAGTGTGCTAGTGAGGACGCTGGCCCCAAGGGGGTAGACAGGGTTAAAGAGAGGGAACAAAGAATATTTTATAAAGGTGTGCAAAATTCTCCCTAGTAGATGCATTTAAAAAGCCATGAGACTGACGAACAATACATAATGAGCTCAAAGTGAACCATATTTGCTAGTGACGATGACCTAGAACAAAAAATTCGAATCCAAATACCACCCTAGATTATCGCTGCAATTTTAAAAGTATCATTTGAATGCACAGATAACTCATAAATCCACTTAAGCCAAAACTTATTCCCCACCAAGGGCTCACTTTCTTCATAACCAACAGTAAACAAGCCAAAAACCTCTAAGCCAATATAGAGAAAGAACAGAAGGAATGCTAATACAACTGCTACCGTAGCTAATTATCCTACAGAGACTGGTTGTGTTTTCTGTGGTTGGAGTAAACACATTTAGTGGGGCAGTTCCACAATCTAGATATCAAGAAAGAAGACAAAAATTTCACTTGAAGGTTTCATCAAGCTTTGATGGCATTCAAACAGCAGCAGCCAACATAACAGAGCAGATAAGAGAGTTCAAGATGTGAGTCCATGAAAATGCTTGAACAATATTTCAAACCCACAATCAGTCTTTAAGAAAAACACCAAAAAGAAGGTTGAAGCCAAAGCAGCTGGATGTTATAGCATTAGCTAGTTTCCAGTGTGCCCAATAAGAACAGAAAGAACAATCCTCATGCTTAGTGGGTACGACTTATCAGAATTGAAAAGTGAATTAACTCAAACCACCCAAGCCCACCGCTAATAGATATAGTCCTCTTTGAACTTTCCTCAAGGTTTCTACAATGCGTCTACTATGGAGAGGGTCTAGCCCTACTCTAACTAGTGTCTCGCACCGTCTAGGACACCATTTGTAACAGCTCAAGCCTACCGCTAGCAAATATTGTCTACTTTAGCCGGTTACGTATCGTCATCAGTCTCACGATTTCAAAACGCATATGCTAGGCAGAGGTTTCTACACCCTTATAAGTAATGTTTCGCTCTCCTCTCCAACCAACGTGGGATCTCCCATAAACAATCTAGTTGAAGCCCTATTCTAATATATCATTAGAGTAGAAAAGCTGCACAAACCAGAAGAAAATAGAGTACACAAAAAGAAGAAGATAAAACGATAACCCCACTGGCTCTACAAAGAGTAAGGCAATGTTGCAATCATCAATCCCATTTGAGACATAATCATGTGAAAGCTTGAACAACGAACACATAACAACAGGATCAGAACTTTCCCATCAACATATAAGTAATCCATGGCAGTGTGCAGTAAAATCCCACCACCAATTCAAAGACAAGGACTTGAATGATCCTTAGAAATTATTCAGGATCAAATACAAGTAATATTAGGTATAAAATCAGGCGACAAATTAGACAACAGATTGTTTAAATACTCTTCTTTTTACAACATATCATTCCATATCCCCTAAAAGGCTAAAACATTAGATAACAGATTGTCTTTTCCCCTACCTCATGCATCTAAATTTTCCATTTGAATGCTACTTTTGAGAGGTACATACTCACCAAGATATCCACCCAAATGGTCATGTAAGGCGAGCTTATCAATTCCCTGATGGTGAAAGCTCTTGCAGACATAGTAAAACACACTCTGAACCAACAATCCCACCAAGTTCACAATCACCAAAACGCCAACCAGAAAGCCACCAACGATAATCCTCATAAAAACCCCATGTCCATCATCACCGTGAACGACCACAGCCCCAAATATGACATTAATTGTAGCGCAGATGGCCAAATACGCAAATACAAGCACCGCCGCAAAACGGGTTTTGCCCATAAGCAATTCGTAGCTCTTTTTCATGGCGGCAAATCCATAAATCGGTTCAAGCACCGACACGACGCTAGCCAAATGCCATAAGGCGGTGATGTAAACATGTACAACTAGAAACAGGATGAAGATTACAACAACAGAGAAGAAGAACAAAATGTAATTCTGGGTGTCAATTGCAAGGATAAGGAGTATCAAGAAGACGAAAAAGATGAAGTTATAGATAATCATGAGGAGAGAAACCCAGAGGAAAGTGACGAAAAGGCGCTTGAAAACCTTGGGAATGGCGAAGATAGTTGAGGAATAGGAAACGGACTTGGAAGTATAGAGGGAAGCGACGGTGAAGACGACGGCGGCGGTGGAGAGAAGAGAAAAAGCGAAGAGGAAAATAAGGTAGCAGAATTGGAAGGTAAGGAGCTCGGTCCATCGATGGCGGGTCTGAACGGGGTCGGAAAAAGGGTTTTGGAGCTGGACGAGAAGTGGGTGGGTGAAGAGGGAGTGGGCTAAAATGGCGAAAGAAAGGGGGAAGATGAAGGTAAGAGTTATGAGATAGAAGGTTTTGGGGGAGCGCTTCGGGATGAAGATTGATTCTCTGAGAATGTCGGGAATGGTCAAGAATTGAAGCTCTTCTGGAGCTAGATCCATGGCTTCTTTCAATGGGAAATCTTCGATTTCGAAATTGATATGTTTCGAGGAAGACGAGGAAGAGGGGTCTAATTCGAAAGAAAATTAGGTCAAATGGATAAGATCAGATCGGATATGGAAGAAGATCTTGAAACTTGCAGACAGAGAGGAAATTGGGGAAGACGGAGGTGGAGTCAACAGCGCGAAAAGTGACGATGCCCACCGCCACGATCCCATTTTATTATTATTTTTTTATTTAATTATATGATATAAATTAAAATCTGATATATTTACACATCAAAATTAAATTCAGCCTTTTACAAAAATGAGACTATAAATTAATTATATTCCAACATAAATTTTAGTAACCATGAATTACATTTTTGGTAAATGAATTTGAATTTAATTGGTATCTGAAATTGGAAATTGGTTTCTAATATTCAATGAATAATAAAGATTCTTAGTTGACCTAATTGAATGATATAATATTTTATATATTTTTATCTAAATTTTGTTTCCATGCATTTTTTAAACGAGTATGCCTTATATTTTATTTTTTATACTCAAAATATAAATTAAATTAAGTTTATTGTATTTAAAATTTTATAAGAAATTTCAAATAAAATTTAGTGAAAAAAACAAACCAATTTGCAACTAATAAGGACAGATCCAATCAACAGTGACAAATCTGATTCGAATGAGCTGAGTTGTGAGATCTCTCATTAATTCAAGAAGAAAATGAAGCATTAGTTATAATGGGCCGTTACATTCTATCCACTCGTCATCAATGGTCGAATGTGACATATTGAAGGGTGGCACCGAACAGGATCCGATCGACAGTGACAAATAGTTGGTTATTATTGTTTCCACAGTTGGAATTTATGAGGAAAAATTATGGAATATCAGTTTCTATGAACCTTGCTTTATTGAAGAGTACAACACATTGAGTTCTTACAAATATCATATTTTATTTGGTTTGAAGATCATCAGATTCTGTCTTGAGCTGTTTCTCAATCCTTGAATTTCCCAAACCACATCTTTCTTCCAACCAACCAATTATGTCAGCAAACACAACATCAATGTTTTCAACTGTCTCTCCATACAGCAATCCATGCCACATCTCTGGATATGTCTTCAAGCTCTTGTCCCAGCTCGACGCCTTCTCAAGGAGTTGCTTGCTCACCGATATATCGGTCACTCGATCCGCCTCCCCGTGGAGGATTATGAACGGTAACGAAACCTATAAACTACCATTGAACTCAAAAAATCGAAAAAGACTAATTCATTCAAACGGCGAAGAAATAGCAAACCTCTTCGAGTCGTTTCTCGAGATCTAAACTGATCCTTAGAAGTTCATTTCCAGTGTTCAAACGAGGCCTCCCTTTGAAACAATAAGGATTATTTCTGACCTGTTAATTTTATTATCATTAATATAAACAGTTTTATATTGTAAAAACAGAGGAGATTAATAATTATTACCTGATGTCTAATCTCAGGAACCTTGAAAGCCACATCAATGATATCTTGGGTTGGAATTATCTTCCATGTGGGTATCACTTTACAAAGCTTTGTCAGTATATTTACAACAACTGGCTTTGGTTTAACATCCTCTGCAATCTGCCAAAAACAGGGGAATTTTTTGAGCTTCAAATTTTAAACTCATTCAAAAACAGAGCCAAAAAATGGACATACTTTACACATTGGTGCAACCAAGACAGCACCATCCCAATAATCTGGCTTCTTTCTGTGCAATAACAGAGCCACTGCCCCTCCCATTGACTCCCCTAATAGATACCTTCTTTTGCCCATGTTCTCTTTCCTTTCTGGGTATTAAAAAACAAAGTTTTTAACGAAGACCCATGTAAAAATTTTCACTTAAAACCCATAAAAATTGAATCTTTTGCATTGGGAAGATAAGATACCAGAAATGGCTGTGAAGTGATTGGAGCAATCCTCCACCACATGATCAAAGCTTGTAATATAGCCTTGCAGCCCATCTGATTTCCCATGGCCTTCGTAATCAATCCCATAAACCGCAAACCCTGCCCTTGCAAGCCGAATTGCAGAGCCTATAAACCAAATCAATTATAATTTGATCTTAGGAATATAATGTTTCAGGTGGTGGAAGGGTGTTTACTGTTCATGGTGATGCTGCATTCCATCGCGTACCCATGGCAGATAAAGATCAAGCCCTTTGGTTCCTTATCCTTTGGAAGCCATTCGCACGTGAAAAGCTTCAACCCACATGAGTTCATTATAAACCCCTACAATGCAAAACACGGAGTTGGATATTAACTAATTTAGAGAACGATTCATAGATTTATAAGTAAAGAATACTGTCTATCTAAGATATTCAAGCCAAAGTTACTGGAACTTATACTCAAACTGGACAATATTAAGGGCGGGCGGGCTAACCTCTTGATACACGAGCCCATCATGTGTTCGAGCGGCCTGCAACACATTAAAAAACGAGTTAGAAAGAGAACGAGATAGAACAGAGAAGAAGAGAGAGAAAGAGACCATGGAGGAGGATTTATCTTAGCAGAAAAACGAAGAAGATTGGATATTTGTGAAGCCCCACTTGTAAGCTTTAAGGGCTTCGAGGATTGGAACAGCGCAGGCGACTGCCTGTGCATGTCGAGTAGCCTCGTTGGACTTTCTAATTTTATCACCACGGCTTAGCCATTCATTTCCTTGTCAACTTTCTAAATAAGGCGAAATTGCCCGTAAAGATTTTAGCTCTTTCTGGGATAATTTTGTTTCAAATCACTTTCCGTTACAATCATTTGATAAGATATTGTTTAATTATTAAATATTTATTAGAATTTTATTTTTTCATGATTTCGTCATTAGTACTAATTACTTTGGCATTAAACGTAGTTAATTAAATGTAATTAAGAAGATTAGGGAAGTTTAACATTTTGATTCAAAGACTAACTGATGAGCACGTTTATTTGAGATGTCAATAAAAAATGTTTTTTATTTTTTATTTTTTATTTATTTATAGATATTTTAGTGTTTGATTGTAATTTTAAACAATGTTTTAAATAATTAAATACATTTTCCAGAAATGTCAATGCTTATGTAATAACTATTTTTAGTTAAAATTATTCAAACTATGTCAGGGAATAATTTTATAAATTTAGTTATATATTTATTAAAATTATATTTTATATAATCATTTTAATATTTGAATATACCATATCCTACTCTAATTATAAATATTTTTTATATATTTTTTAACAAATTTATTTAGAGATATATTTGATTTTTAGAAATTAAAATAAAATAAAATAAAACTAATTTTTATATTTGTTTTAATAAAATTATTTAGATATATATATATATATTTAAAATAATAGAGATAAAATTAGAAACATTTTAAATAATTTACATTTTTCACACACTATTTTGTTAATTGAATATTAATTGTAAACTGTAATTAAATATTTAACTTATTTTAATTTGAGAAAAATCAACAAATAAAAAATCGAAATTGGATTGGGCAGTGTCTGTCACCGTCAGTCACAGTCGGTTAATTTGGCTCCAATCCATAAGCGCCTCTTTGGCGACTTTTTGCAAGCTTCTATCAAATGATAAAAAGATCAGCATGATTTTTTTTTTTGGTTTTGTTCGAATCTGGAGAAAGTTTGGCTGTTATTGCTCTAATCGACATTGGGTATTGTTTGGGGTTTTGTTGACGTTGTGTTGTATTGAAATTTTTGAATAATCGGTGGAGGGACTTGTGTTCTTCGATTGATCCGAGACGAGAATGTCTCAGGATTTGTCATTGGATCAAGACCTGGAAGAATCTGATCCCGAGTTCGTGGAGATTGATCCTACCGGTCGATATGGACGGGTAAATACTCATACAGCTTGTTCGATTTTGCATTCTAGTTGACATTTTCGATTCATACTACTTTGATTGGTTCTTGCTCATCCTTTTTCTGATTGATTGGAGGCTCGTGCATGCTTATGTGGGATTGAACTTATATTTACAATATTTACTGTTTGATCACATCTTCTAATCTTTGGCTGTTTTGCAGTATAAGGAAGTTTTAGGAAAAGGGGCATTCAAAAGGGTGTATCCTTCTTTGTTTTGATGTTATTGGTTGTGATACAATCAAAATTGAAATTTCTTGTGTTTTCCATTTTATACTGATTCTACCAAAGAAATTAAAATGTGTGTATCTGTCTGCTGCATTTGAGATGAAATTATTATGGTAAATTGTGTGTTCTTCATCAAAATGTGGTATATAGATATCGGGCTTTTGATGAGTTGGAAGGAATTGAAGTAGCTTGGAATCAGATTAAGGTAACAGATTTATTGAGGAACTCTGATGATTTGGAGCGACTATATTCAGAAGTTCATTTGCTTAAGACATTGAAGCACAAGAACATAATCAAATTTTACAGTTCATGGGTTGATACGAAGAATGAAAACATCAACTTCATTACAGAGATATTCACTTCAGGGACACTGCGACAGTAAGCCCTGTACCCTGGGCTCTTCAGAATTTGTTTTTCTTCTTTAACTATAATACTTGACATATATTTTGAATATGTGTAGATATAGAAAGAAGCACAAGCATGTTGATTTGAGAGCACTGAAAAAATGGTCGAGGCAGATATTAGAGGGCCTTCTGTATCTTCATAGTCATGACCCTCCAGTTATACATAGAGATTTAAAATGTGACAATATCTTTGTCAATGGCAACCAAGGTGAGGTGAAAATCGGTGACTTAGGACTTGCTGCCATTCTTCAGCAAGCTCGTTCAGCTCATAGTGTCATTGGTGAGAATTCTAAACTTAAATAAGCAATCGAAATTACTTAATATGAAAGTTAAGTACACATTTTTGGTGTAGTGAAGCGAGTAAAAGAACTTATTTGTGATTTAATGATTTTAGGAACTCCCGAGTTTATGGCTCCAGAGTTTTACGAGGAGGAATACAATGAACTTGTGGATATTTATGCCTTTGGCATGTGTTTGCTTGAGCTTGTAACCTTTGAATATCCATATGTTGAATGTGCCAATGCTGCTCAAATATATAAGAAGGTCACATCAGTAAGGGCTCCTGGATCTTTTTTTTTTTTTTACTTATGTATTCCATGTTGTACCCACCATGAAGATCACTCTTTGATAAAGTATGGATACGATATGCATAACGCTGCATTGTAGGTTCTATTAGGACTCATACACCATATAATATAGGAAATAGTATTGCGTTTAATCGTGTACATTGTTCAACTCAATTTTTTCTATGTTTAGCGTTATACATATGATTTACCTTCACACTTGTAATGTGGTGACTGTAAAAGAGAGCTCATAATCAGTCACTTTTAAGATTTGATTCAGTTGCGGAAACTTATAGTTTATGATAAAGAAGCAATATAACCTTCTTGTCTATTCAATCTTTGACGATTGAGCCATTCGTTTTTTATACATGGTCTTCCATGGAGCCTTGGTTTCTAGTGGACTTTTCTAGCATCTAAACAAAGAGCTCTACGTGTGTTTCCATGTGATCTGTTATTTTGTGCAAGCTTTTTCTTTCTTTTCTTTTTCCCCGCTTCATTTTTAGAATGAACCACTCATTGTTTAAAGTCTGGTCCTAAATTTTAGCGGTCAACCTGCAGCATTGAAAATTTAGAACATTCTAACAAATAAATGGGGATTATGGATGTAGTTTATGTTGGTAATGGTAAATATTTGAAGTCCTAAATGTAAAAAAAGTTGTCTACAATTCAAATACGTCTTAACCTTTTAAGTAAAATATTTTATGTCCAGATTTAGATCGGTTCTTTCTTAACCTTGCTTTTTTGCAGCTTCTTTAGACAGAAATATTCCTTGTGAAGGTTGTAAGGAATTACTATTTTCCTTTTGTTCTTAGGGGATTAAACCAGCTTCATTGGCAAAAGTCACCAATTTAGGAGTTAAAGCATTTATAGAAAAATGTATTGCAAATGTCTCTACTCGCTTGCCTGCAAAAGATCTTTTAATGGATCCATTTCTCCAAGCAGATGATGACCATGAAAGTATACCTCGTAATTTACAATCAAAGATACTTCATACAGGTAAGGTTAAAAAAGTACTTCTCCTTCGATAGAAACTTTGGGATTGTAACATATTGTTATTTTATTGCATGATATCATTACTGAAGGAAAAAAAGAGCAGATTGATTTTGTCGATGATACTTCTGCTGAGACTTGTAGAGATTTTAGTATGCATGGTCAAAGAAAAGATGTTAACAAGATATTTCTCAAACTACGAATTGCAGATTCCATGGGTAAAATTCATATTTGTTGTCATTTCTTTGTTTTTCTAGATTCTTTAGGAGAAAATCTACTCTACTGGAATTGTCAGTATTTATTGACAATTTTTTCAATTACTATAGGTAATTTTCGCAATATCCATTTCCCATTTGATACTGAAGCTGACACAACAGTTTCTGTTGCTAGTGAAATGGTTGAGGAGTTGGACCTTTCTGATCAAGATGTCTCTACAATTTCTGAAATGATTGAAACAGAAATTCGATCCTACATTCCAGATTGGACATCAGTTGAGAATTCTGTGGATAATGTAGGAGTTGATGTTGCAATTTCTGATAGCTCGACATCTGAAACAAAGAATGTTTCCTCTCCATTGTCTATTGAATCTAATAATCTTGCTTTAGAGGTATTGCCTTCAGGTCGCAAGTATTGGTCGGACTCTCCAAAAGGTATTGGTGGGTGCTCTCCTATTAAGCCAGGTCCTTCAAACTTGTCTCTTACCTCAGATCAGAATGTTGAATCCTCTAGCAGCCACATACTTGGGAATAATCTTGATCATTCTGCAATAATTAAGGGACTGGAAAGTGAACTTTTGTCAGAGGGTGATATTCATGATAGCTCTGAGGCACATCTTTTAGAAGAGAACTGTTCTGATGAATCAGTTGACCTCAAAATAATGGCTGAGAAACTTAAAAATCTGTTGACACAACAACAAAAGGAATTAGATGAACTAAAGAGAGAGCACAAATTAGTTGTTTCAGAACTTCTCACTGAACTAACACCTGAATCTTGTCAGAAGGTTTTAGGGATGTGTAAGCTAAAGCGTTCTGATTTTGCGTTTGATCTCTGAAATGCATTGCAAATTCAAGCTTAAGATTATGCTACTGTGTCCAGAATGTAACGGTATCTCATTGCTCTCAAATGTAAATCAGTTTACACAAATTCTCGTGTGGTGAAGATTAGTTTCTAATTTTCAAATTAGCTTTTTCTACCTTCGAAGTTGGAAGATGAATCTTCTAGTCAATTGATCCAGTTATGAGGCATGGGGAAGCATGATGCTGAAAGATGTTAGAGAGGTTGACCAACGAATTGCGAAGCTGTAAACATCAACTGGTTAAACTAGCATCACTCCCTGGTATGTCTCAGACATCCCTCATGAAGCAATTTGTGCACAAAATGCATAAAGATCTGCCACCAATGTTCTCTTTTTTTTAGTATAGAATAGGTTGGACA